CTCTGGAATTGGTCCCAGAGGTTCCGCAGTGTGTATGAAATCACACAACCACAGATCACCACAACTCTTCTTTCACAAAAAAAAAAAAAAAAAAATAAATAAATAAATAAAATACATGTACTAATTTTATACTCGTTAGCCACAACTTCTGCTACTTAATAACACACACTATAGAGTAGCACAGGAGAAGTAGGTTGTTGGGTCTGTAAGCAGGTAAAATGAACTTCCATCTCTTGAGTAGAAAACAGGTAGCCATTAGAAGCAGTCCACTCAGTGATGCTATCCACTGCCCCCTGAAGTCTGTGACAGGCCACCTCAGGAGCAGACGATGTGCAATACGCTGTAAGGTCAAACAGGGGAGGGGGATCCTTCAAGATGTGTTGCAGTGGGAAGGAAGCTGACAGAGCTTGGGAATAATTACTGTTGTTATTGAAAGCAACTATGCAGTAAGAGCACTCCCAGGAAACCCCAGGCTTGTATTTTATTGTGATTCAAAGGCAAGGCCTTTAGCTCTTGTCATCATTAATTATTACTGAATACAATTTATGCCATGAAAAGTAACATGGCTCAATAATTAAATTTTGTGTGTCTGCCTTGTAAATGCTGTTAATATTAAAATGTATATTTTTGTTATGCAGCTGTTTTCTTGAAACCAATGTTGTTAGTGAGTGTGCTGTGGTTTGGCATATCCACCTACATTGCTATTTGCTATAATACCCTTACAAGAGGTGACTTAAGTGATACTACATATTCTAGACTAATAGTTATCTTGTGTATGGTCACAGAAAGTAAGTTATTGAATTTTATTACATAGGACCTCATATACATGTAATAATGCAACATACAGTAACAGTGAAAATAAAAGGCCCAGTTGGTGAACCTGAGGAGTTGAGAAGGAATAGCTATGGCCCCTCAAATTTTAAAAAGCACCTACAGTGGAACCTCAAAAATCGAACTTAATCCGTTCCAGGAGCTAGTTCTAAATTCGAAAAGTCTGAAATTCGAAGCAATATTTCCCATAAGAAATAATGGAAATACAATTAATCCATTCCAGAAACCCAAAAATATTCACACAAAAAATACATTTTATAGAGATATAATTACAATTTTACATACAACAAATACTATAGTTTTTAATTATGTATAGTGATACATATAAAATAACATTTTTACTTACCTTTATTGAAGATTGGTGATGGCATCTGGAAGATAGGGAGGAGAAGAGAGGGAGTTGGAGTTAGTGTTTGGAAGGAGAATCCCCCTCCATGAGGACTTCAGGTAAAGCCCTCTCTGGGGTTACTTCCCTTCTCTGTCTTTTAATGCCACTAGGACCAGCTTGAGAGTCACTGGACCCCTGTCTCACAAAATAACTGTCCACAGTCCTCTGTTTCTGGCACCTCTTTAACATTTCCCAAAAATGGGACATGGTTCTGTCACTGAACTTGTTGCAAAGATGGCTTGTTTCAGCTTGCTCAGGGTGGTACTTTTGCACAAACATTTGGACATCATTCCACTTGGCACAAATCTCCTTAATCTTTAAAGAAGGCACCTCATCCACTCCCTCTTCCTCCTCCTCTGAAGCAAGTTCCTCAGCTGTGGTCTGATACTGCTCCAGATGAAGCTCTTGCAGGTCTTCAGTGGTTAGCTCTTCCCTGTGGTCCTCCACCAACTCTTCCACATCCTCACCGCTCACCTCCAACCCCAGGGTGTGCCCCAATGCCACAATAGAGTCCACAACAGGCAGAGGGTGAGCTGGGTCAGGGTCAGGGTCAGCCTCAAACCCTTCAAAATCCCTCTTTTGGACACAATCTGGCCACAATTGTCTCCAAGCAGAGTTCAAAGTCCTGGAAGTCACTCCCTCCCAAGCCTTACCTATAAGGCTTATGGAGCTGTAGATGTTGAAGTGATTCCTCCAGAACTCTCTTAGGGTCAACTTAGTGTCTGTGGTCACTTCAAAGCACTTTCAAACACTGCTTTTGTGTAGAGTTTTTTGAAGTTAGAAATGACCTGCTGGTCCATGGGCTGGAGGAGAGGAGTGGTGTTAAGAGGCAAGAACTTCACTTTTATAAAACTGAAGTCCTTAGACAAGAGGTCTAATAAGTTTGGAGGGTGAGCAGGAGCATTGTCCATTAACAGGAGGCACTTGAGTGGCAATTTCTTTTCCTGGAGGTATTTTTTCACACTGGGGCCAAACACTTCATGGACCCACTCTTTGAAAATTTGTCTTGTGACACATGCCTTATGATTAGCTTTCCACAAGACACATAACTTGTTCTTAAAGACATTGTTTTTCTTAAACACTCTGGGATATTCTGAATGATACACAAGTAACTTTAAAATCACCACTAGCATTAGCACAGAACAAAAGAGTAAACCTGTCTTTCATAGGCTTGTGTCCTGGCAGTGCCTTTTCCTCCTGTGTGATAAAGGTCCTTTTTGGCATTTTCTTCCAAAACAAGCCTGTTTCGTCACAATTAAACACTTGTTCAGGTTTCAATTCTTCACTGTCTATGTACCCCTTAAACTCCTGTACAAACTTCTCAGCCACCTGTTTGTCTGAACTGGCTGCCTCACCATGTCTTACAACATTGTGTATGCCACTACACTTCTTAAATCTGTCAAACCAGCCTCTGCTGGCCTTAAATTCACTATCAGCACTGGTTCCAGGAGTTTTCTGTACCAGATTGGCATGCAACTTCCTTGCCTTTTTGCAAATAATCGTCTCTGAAACACTATCACCTGCAATCTCTTTATCTTTGATCCACACCAGCAACAACTTCTCAACCTCTTCAACTATTTGTGGTCTTTTTTTGGTTAGCATATTAACACCTTTTGCAACATCAGCTTCCTTGATTTGTTCTTTCTTTGACAGGATAGAACCGATGGTCGACTGTTTTTACCATACATCCTGGCAAGCTCAAGTCTCACACCACTCTCATACTTCTGTATTATTTCCTTCTTCACATCTATGGTGTTTCTCACTTTCTTTACCACAGGGGTACCACTAGCAAGTTTCTTTGGGCCCATGGCAGCTTATTTCACAGTCCCACAAGCACTAAACACAACGAAATAATCGTAAAATGCGTGAATGGGAGCACAGGTTAGTGTTTACTCAAGCATAAACAAAGCTAGACTGCTCACGGCGCCTGTGTGGGGACGCGGACAGAGCGGGCCGGCAGACAGGTCCCGTACCCGGCGGTCCGAAAATAGGGGCGCGTTCGATAATAGGGACACAGTTTGTCCGAAAAAATGGTCCTATTTTTGAAACGTTTGATATGTGATACGTTCGATTTTTGAGGTTCCACTGTATAAGCTAAAGGAGTTTAATAGGGAGGTCTGTGAGTCTGTGTAATCAAACAAAACTGTAATAGTGTGGTCTTTCCTTACAAGCAGCAGGTGACATTTTTTGGGGTTGATCTTTGATTGCTGCCTGACACTGACTACTCGTATTAAGAAGTTCAGAGTGAATGTTCTGCAAGTGCTAGACATTCTTAAGGTGCTCTTTGAAGGTGTGGCTGTCAAATTTACTCCTCAAGCACCTCTTCTCAGCTATACTTGCTGAATCCTGTTTATCATCTAGAGATTCAGCTTTGCATAGATGCATTCTGTACCTCATCAGTTGAGCTTCTATCTTGAGTCTGCAGAGTGCCCCCTGGATTTCTGCCATAAGGGTGTAGCCTGCACTACCTGTTTCAAATCTGGCATACTCTTGGCAATCCTGCTTCTGTTGCAGTCTGTGCATATGGGAGAAGGGAAGGTGTTAAGCCCTTTGCTGGTCGTGCAAGGTTTCCTGTGCCATTAGGAGTTCACATGTGGGCTCCTCTCCAAGGCTGTATCCTCAACGTGTCTGCTGTCAGAGGTTGGCTTCTCTCCTTGCCCTCCTTGGATGGTACCTAAAGTGCATCTTTGTAGGCAATGGATGAGGGATTTCTAAGTATCAAGCCCCAGTGATGACCTTGGCTAATTTCTTGGAGCATGATTCTATTCATGCATCAAGAATAAAGGTCTCTACTGATGGGTCAAAAAGAGGTGGTGCTGGCTTTACTGTGATTACTGGTGAGGAGTTTTATTAAGCCTGGTTAACAAAAGAGTCCTCTGTGTTCACTGCAGAGCTCCATATAATCCTCGCTGCTACTGTCCTGACAGCTGGCCTAGTTGGCTCATTATTCACTGTGTACTCAGATTCCCAATGTGCTCTGTTTGCCCTGGCTTAGTATGCTTCTGTCCATTCTGTGGTCCAGCAGATCCAGAAATGGGTAATGTATCTCCGTGCACAGCACAAGGACGTGGAGTTATGTTGGTAACCTGGGGAATGAATGGGTGGATTCTGAAGCAAAGGCTGCTTTTGCGAGCCCATTCTATAGTAGCAGGCCTGGTAGGCCCTACATAATGGGAACAAGTTATATGGGATTTGGCAGGACTTGGGTGTTTAGCCTTCCTTCAAAAAGGATTGTCATTTTGAGACACACTTGTCAACCAAAGATCTGGCATGCATATTTCACCCTCAGCCATTTGTTCGCAAGTGCTCCTATCCCACTCTATGTATCCCGTGATGTTCTGCTGACTGGAATACATTTTAACACCTCTCCCTCAGTTTAGGTCTTTTTACCTTCATCAATGTTTTTATAATTATCAAGGTGCCTTTAGGGACCTCAGGGAAACTTTTAAGAGTCTTTTGACATTAATAATTTAATGTTTTTTTTTTTTACTAATATTGGCTGTTTTAACTTGGTATGAAGGTATTTATTTGTATTAAGTGTTTGCTCATTGCTTTTATTATTTGCTAATTGTTTGTGTTGTGTATGTTGTATATCAATAACAACACTGCACTAGCCAGGGACTCAAACCCATGCTGCTTTGGCCTGCCTCATGGTGGGCGAAAACACATGACGCCCTAATCCACTGGACCAATCGATCATATGGTCCAGTGGATTAGGGCATCATGTTTTCGCCCACCATGAGGCAGGCCAAAGCAGCATGGGTTTGAGTCCTTGGCTAGTGCAGTGTTGTTATTGATCAATACCACTCATTCATGATCACAATAATATGTTGTATATATATATGTTTTTATGGCTATGAGTGCTGAGTGACCTAAAGTGGTTGAAGAGTTCTGAAAGTGTCACAACCAGGTGGGAGCTGCAGTCCCCCCAGATGCTCACTGCCAGACGCATGACTTCATCAACCTTATGCTAAAATAACTTGCAACTGACAAATATATTACAGGAAAAATCTGTTGTAACTTTCAGTGTATTTATATGTGAATTTTTAATTTTTTGTTGAAACAAGATAAAAAATGATTAAAAATAGAAGTTTGATGTGGTACAATAGTATAGGTATTACTGGTGCTACAAGCCACCACTGGTCACAACTATTGCTAAGGTGCTCTACTGTGGGTACATCATGTGCCAAGCTAAGAACTTAATTCCTGTAAAGCTCAGGCACTGCCACCTGGGAATGAACCATCTCGGGCCTATCTGATGGTGTTTCAACTAAAGTTGACTTCTTTGTTAAAAGCAATTTCTTAAAATAGAAACACTTGGCTAGCTGGGAAGCTACTTGCTCAGTAACAGCCAATGATTCTAAAGCTTTATCTGTCATATCCTTGCACACAGATGTATGGCACTGAATCCTTTTTGGGAGGCAGACGTAATACATCCAAATATTTTTAGCTCAATTTCTCCTCGAGTTCCAAATGTTTACATTTTGCACTCCTAGTGACGAAATCTGAGAGTTGATTGAATTATAATGACTGCTGATGTGAATTCAATGTTCTTGCCCTTTGTGCATATATTACGTAGGATTTTCTTTATAACCTTTCCCACATCCTTCATACATTACATGCTGACGATAGCCATTTAGGTGATTTCTTAGAACAAGATGGTGAGGTAATGGAGGCCATGACTTGTAGGCAATGGCTTCCAAGAATCTGAAGTCACAATAACTGGCCATCAGTATCTGAAACACATTCTGCTGAGGTTAAATGGGTGAGCAAAGTATTCCTTAAGTAATTTACGGAACATAATTATATGTATTTCAAAAATACAAAAAAAAAAAAAAATGAATATTAACATACAAACCAAATAAAAAGTTAGAATTACTGTCTTGATGTTGTAGTGACACTGCAACATCAAGGCAATTTGCTGCAAACAAAATTAACAACAAATACCAAAGATACTAAGATGGAATGCTATTTTCATCCTTTCACTGTTGGTGTCTTATAGATATGTCTTACAAGCCAGTGATGGTGACATATTAATATGCCAAAATTCTAGCGGCTTCAAATCTAGTGGGAGAAAGCTGGTAGGCTTATATGTGAGAGAATGGGTCTGCATGGTCAGTGTGCACAGTATAAAAAAAATTGGAGAGCCAGTGGTGCACTGTGGGAATGCCATTTCAGTAGTCATTCTTCAGCGTGTCTAGCGATATGAAATATCTGACTCCCTGGCAAATCTGAGACTCTTCTCTTCCCAAATGATAGCTCTAACACAGATGGAAGTGTCAGTGAAGATGAATTTCATGGTTTTGAGGAGTTTGTGACCAAAAGCAATGCCCAGGAAACCTGAAGGAAGGATGGAAGTAAGGACAGAAGGAAGGAAAGAAAGAAAGAAGGAAGGAAGGAAGGAAGGAAGGAAGAGATGAAAGGAAGAAAGAAAGAAAGGAAGAGATGAAAGGAAGGAAGAAGTAAGGAAGGAAGAAGTAAGGAAGGAAGATAGGAAGGAAGGAAGATAGGAAGGAAGGATGATGCCAACAACCATCAACTTTGAATAACCCAAAAAAGTCAAAGTGATTTATTTCCATGTGAGTGGTGGGGAAGACCGCATGCTTGTTAGACAAGATGGTGTGGGTAATGCGTGTTAGTAATGTATCACTGTGACACCAGGCATGCCGCTGTCAGCACATTCACAACAAAGGAGGTGACCCACACACAACCTTCCAGAAGCTGCAGAAGTTCTAAGAATGTGTCCAATGGCTCTATATGTGTATATATATTATAGAACAGTGGTAATAAACAACATTTTTTATTGTTGGTTTGTGTACACACGTGCAGTTACTGTGTTGCATACAAGTAGATGCGTATATACATTATACACTATACTGGTCTCACAGGCCACAAAAGTTACTTGAAAAAATAATTAAAAAATAAAAGAAAAAAGTAGAATAAAAGTAAAAATAATATTACCGAGCGAGTGGCAGTCACAGATGTTGCCATAAGTGGTTCACTTTCTGTCAACTTCACGCCTCTATATCTCGGTAAGTAGTGATCATAAATTTTTTTTAAAACATTCACAAAAATATTCTTAGGATTTTGGTAAGAATTTTTTTTTTTTTTTTAAATATTTTTCGACACAGAGATCAGATTGGGTGTCGAGACCCCAGATCCTTAACTCACTCTCAGGGTCAAGAAATAAAAAAAAAAAAAAATTTCTTATGAAATGTGAATCTTTTCCCTCATACTTCATCAAAAGTATGAAATTTGATGGAAAACTCATGAAATTACGCTCCTGTGAAGTTAGCGTTATCGGCGATATTTACTCATCGGCGATTTCTCCCACTTTGAGCCCTATTCTCGGCCAATTCCATTGTTCCAGTCGACTAAAATCATACTTATTTCGCTAGAACAAGAAACAGCCCATTTATAAATATCAACTAAGCAACCAATGTGGTCGGAAAGTGGCCAATTTCACACAAATTTCAAAAGATGCCAATTTCAAAATAGGGTCCAGAATAAACAAGACAGACATTCCTGGCACTAAAATAACATTTTCTCTGTTCATTAGTCAAGTCTCCAGGCCCATCTTATATTACTCTTGCTTTCCAGTTTGTTTTTTATTCTCACAAAAAACAGAAGATTAACTGTTATGCAGACTACTGTATTATTGTAAGAATGGTATAAATAATATCAGCGCACTTGTGAAAGAATATTAAACTCACCAGTTGATGTGTATTGGACGTGTGGCATGATTTGTTTACTCTTCAAGATATGCAAAAATCAAACATTTCCGCTACTTTGAGCTCAATTTCAAAGTACTTATCATGTGAAACCAATCAAAATCATCTTTATTTCTGTAATATGTACTCCATTCTATCAAATGAGACCAAGAAAATGACAACACAGTCATAAATACCATATGAAAATACACTGCAAAGTCGCAGTTTTAAACCAAAAACACGGTTGGAGTTTTTTTTTTCTCATTGTACACTGTGTGCTGCAGGATTTTTTTTATACTGTGCACACTGATCATACAGACCCATTCTTTCATATGTAAACCTACCAGCTTTCTTCCACCAGATTTGAAGGCGCTAGAATTTTGGCGTATAAATACAGGACCGACACTGGCTCTCAAGCCGTACATATATGGGACTAACCCTGAAAGGTTTAAACCAACATGCAGTACAGGGTGACCATCACTAATCCGGCATCATCGGGACTTGCAGAGTGCCAGATTAGTGTTTTTGTCGGATTACAGGGTGGTTAGGTTAGAATACAGGTCTCCCTCAACATTCACGTTTTCAGCTTTCACGGGCTTCACACATTGCGAATTCCCAACCGCCAAATTCCCAGCCACCAAATTCCCAGCCGCCAAATTATATTCAAGTTTCCCCCCGTCCCTACTACCCTTCCACCGACCCCCGCAACTGGCAGCCAGCTCCCACCACTCAGTGTGGTGAGTGTTTTGTTTGTTCATTATTTGCTATTAAACTACAGTATAAATAATGTAAACCCATTCATGACTGCATATTGGAATGGCTATTCGGACAGGTATTAGACGGTGACATCATGTGTTTACTCTTGAACACAGCAAAGAATCAAACATTTCTGCTACTGCTAATAATAGATAGTAATAATAATAATATAATAATAATAAAAATAATAATATAATAATAATAATAATATATAATAATAATAAATACGATATAACTGAAGAAGGAAGTTGTACAAAAATACGAGGGAGTGGTTGACACATCGTCAGTGTGGCTTTGTTTATGCTGGAGTGAACATTAGTCTCCCTGCTCTTCCAAACATTTCACAATAATTCATTGTGTTTGGTGCTTGTAGATTGAGTGCGACTGGAGTGGTAGAGGCAGTGATTGAGGCAGCTGTTGAGGCAGCTGTTGAGGCAGATGTTGAGGCAGCGATTGAGGCAGTGGTTGAGGCAGCGATTGAGGCAGTGGGTGAGGCAGCTGTTGTGGCTGCTGTTGAGGCAGCGATTGAGGCAGTGGTTGAGGCAGCTGTTGAGGCAGCGATTGAGGCAGTGGGTGAGGCAGCTGTTGAGGCAGCGATTGAGGCAGTGGGTGAGGCAGCTGTTGAGGCAGCTGTTGAGGCAGCGATTGAGGCAGTGGGTGAGGCAGCTGTTGAGGCAGTGGGTGAGGCAGCTGTTGAGGAAATGATTGAGGCAGTGGTTGAGGCAGCTGTTGAGGCAGCGATTGAGGCAGTGGGTGAGGCAGCTGTTGAGGCAGCGACTGAGGCAGTGGGTGAGGCAGCTGTTGAGGCAGCGATTGAGACAGTGGGTGAGGCAGCTGTTGAGGAAGCGATTGAGGCAGTGGTATTTAATAACATACATGTTATTAATAATGATAATACAGTAAAAATCCCAGATTTTCGTTCTGCCGATTATAATGGACTTAGGGAACATCTGTCTAATCTTGATTGGGGTTATCTAGCTAATGATTTTATTGACGATAATCATACTCATGAATATGAAGGGATCTGCTTTTATGATTGTTTTCTTAATAATGTACACAGTGCCCAGAGTATATACATTCCCCAGAGAGAAATTAGGTCTAATAATAACGATCCCAAATGGGTTAACAGGAGGTTAAAGCATCTATTAGGGGAGAAAAGGGGAATTTATAGGCGCATTAGAAGAGGAGAGGTTAACCTTACTGACCAATATGTTCAGCTTAAAAGAGAAGTAAAAAAGGCGATTAGAAAGGCTAAACGTGACTATGAAATTAGAGTCGCTAATGAATCAAAGACTAATCCAAAGGGGTTCTTTCAAGTGTATAGGACGAAGGTGAAGGAAAAAGTAGGACCTCTGAAATCTGGGAATGGACAGCTGACGGATAATGAACTGGAAATGTGTTCCTTATTTAATGACTATTTTTTGTCAGTTTTTACACAGGAAGATGTAAATGAGATTCCAATAATTAACAATTATTTAGTTCCTGATGAATTTAAGTTAACTAATATTACTGTCACGAGGGACATGGTTATTAAACAGATAGACAAACTGAAACAAAATAAGTCCCCGGGACCCGATGAGTTGTTTTCAAAGGTACTTAAGGAATGCAAGATGGAGCTTAGTCAGCCATTAACGAGTGTATTCAATGCGTCCATCCTTACCAGTGTTGTGCCAGAGATGTGGAAGATGGCTAATGTGGTTCCTATATTCAAATCAGGGGATAAGTCCACTCCTTCAAATTACCGTCCAATAAGCCTGACATCTATAGTGGGCAAGTTATTAGAATCAATTATAGCTGACATTATCAGAAGTCACCTTGAAGAGCATAACTTGATAAATGAATCTCAGCATGGATTCACGAGAGGTCGTTCCTGCCTGACAAACTTACTGACGTTCTTCAATAGAACATTTGAGGCAGTTGACAGTGATAAGGAATATGATATTGTTTATTTGGATTTTAGTAAAGCCTTCGACAGAGTACCTCACAAGAGACTCTTAAGAAAAGTGGCAGCTCATGGTATAGGAGGTAAAGTTCTAGCATGGATTGAGGCATGGCTTACCAATAGAAAGCAGAGAGTTACCATTAATGGAGTGAAATCTGAAAGGGGATTAGTCACTAGTGGCGTTCCACAAGGATCAGTTTTAGGCCCTCTCTTGTTCATAATTTACATTAATGACCTTGATGAAGGGATTACTAGTGACATGAGTAAGTTTGCTGATGATACAAAGATAGGCCGTATAATTCACTCTGAGGAGGATATCAATGAACTC